ATTTTCAAACTTTTTTTACATTTTAATCTGGACTACAACATGCCCTAGATATTGTTTGAAAGTGTTTTGATTCTTTATTGTTCGGTCACACTTTACATTAGGGCTTCATTAGTTAACATTAGTTAATTCATTAGTTAACATAAACTGCCAATGAAAAATTCTTCTGAACATTCATTAATCTTAGGTATTCCAATATTTAATAACACGTTAAAATCAAAAGTTGCAACTGTGTTATTTAATGAGCTAACATGAACTAAGACTTGTATTTTTTTAACAAAGATTAATAACTTCTGTAGCAAATGTAGCTATTGCTCATTGTGAATGTTAATGCATTAACTAAGGTTAACTAATGAGGTCTTATTGTAAAGTGATACCTATTGGTCTTTATAGTTCTTTTGCACTTTAATCTGTGTAAAACTTTTAACTTTATACATTTTGTTCAGTTATTTTTGTTATAAGAAAAAAGTTATTAAACCTGTTATACTGTATTATGACAGCACTTTTTTTAAACTAAATTTCAATACCATGATAATACCGTATACCGTGATAAAAGCATTAGCAATTAATCGCAACATGAAAATTTGATACCGGCATATCCCTACTCTTATATTTGTATAATTTCTCAAAGGGGGTTATAAACTTGACAAAAGGGGCATTGCAAATTTATGCACTCAACGTTATATGAGTGTACATATAATTCATATAATACATGTGTGTTCAGAGCCTTTGGAGGGAGTGATGGGACGCCTGTGTTGCTTCTGTTGGGCCATTCAAAGTCTTTATTGGCTTTCAAATGAGATTCAAACTGAGATTCTGCTCTCCATTTCCCATTTGTTTTTCAGTATTTTCTCTCTTCTGTGTTGGGATGTGAGTCGGAGGTCGTGGAGAGTTTGATACCGCTTGGCTCTCGGCTAAACTGAGAGCAGCAGACCAATGCAGCACCGCTGTGATCGCAGCAGACGTTTGTCCTTTTGAGAAAAGGCTATTGAGATGTGTTTCCTTCACTCCATATAGACGTGTTTGAGAAAATGTAAAGCAGCTTGTGGGCAGAAACTTGAGTTATTCGCTCTGACTTTCTGCGAATGACACAGCGGGAATAATCTTGTTAAACGGACGCAGCAGTCGTTGTGTGAGTTCTGTATTAGTTTCTGCATTAGAGATTTGTTTCCCTGGGAAATCTTCAGCAGGGGAGTCTAGTGTTTCCCCCTCAGGGTTAGATGGGGTATAAAGGTGTGCTAGTGCTCCATTTTATCTAATGTACAGTACTGTGCAGAAATCTTAGGCCATTAGTATATAAAAAAGTATTTAAAGAAAAAATTCACTTTTACATGGTTTGCATATAAATGTGACTTAGCAGTGTGTGTACACAACCACCCTACAATGATAAAAATCCCCCAAAAACCTAAACAGTCTCAATTATCATATATGACATCATACTGCTCAAGCCCCGCCCACTTGCAGTTTACATTTCCAAACATTCATTTTGCCATTAATTGTAATAATGCAGTGAGATTATTGTCTGACAGCAGCCAGTGCTGCACACAGAGATCTGATCTCAGCATCATGCAGTCTGTCTGTGATTACATGAAGAAACAGAAGAAACTGAGACAGACTCAATCCAGAAGAACTGTGGCGACGACTCCAGATGCTTCAAGAAACCTTCCTGCAAAGCTACCTCAAAAACTATGCTCAAGTGCACCGAGGACAAAAGCTGTTTTAAAAGCAAAGGGTAGTCACACCAAATGTTAATTTTATTTAGTTAATAAAAGTTAATTGATTGATTTATGACATTATTTTTTGAAAACATCCTCACTTTACAGCATTTTTTACACAAGTGCCTAAAACTTCTCACAGTACTGTAGCTTTGCAGGTATATTCTTTAGTCTGTCTCAGTTTCTTCTGATTCTTCATGTAATCACAGACGGACTGGATGATGATGCTGAGATCAGGGCCCGTATTTATCAAGCCTCTGAGAATTACTCTCAAGAATGCTGCTAAGAATTGCGGGTGGTGAGTAGCCGGGGTCAGCTCCGGTGGCCGTGTCGGAGCCGTAACGCACCGCAGACGTGTGCAGTGTATATATAAGGGGTACGAGATTTATTCATGATACAGTGTAGGTAGCTTCACTGATTATAACGGGAGTGTTTTTAAAGAGCATATAATACTCACGCTAGACTGAAGTCAGTTATGTTGTTCTATGGTAATGTAAATATTCTATGCTCGTTTCTGTTTGAATAACTGAGGAAATGTAACTGTTTTATTAACTGTTCGTCGTCAAACATTTCAAGAACATTCTTCCTCTCCTGAAAGATTCACGCACGTCTCTGTCTCCTCAGCGCCATCACAAGCCCCTACTGGCAACTCCTAACCACTTGAGAGACCTCTCCAGCTGTCTTAAATAACTGGGAGAGTAAGAGTGATTCTTAGCTTTAAGAAATGTGATAACTTGCTTTTATACTTAAGTTTGAAAGTAGGAGTAAATTTAATGAATTCTCAGCACTTAAGACTAAAATGGCACTTTGAGAAGCTTGATGAATACGGGCCCAGATCTCTGTGTGCAGCACTGGCTGCTGTCAGACAATAATCTCACTGGATTATTACAATTAAAGGGTTAGTTCACCCAAAAATGAAAATTGGCTTGTGTTTTACTTACCCTTGAAGCATCTTAGGTTTATATGACTTTCTTCTTTCAGACGAATCATATCGGAGTTATATAAAAAATCGCCCTGGCTATTCCAAGCTCTATCATTGCAGTCAGGAGGTGTTGCAGTTGAACAGTCCACAAGATGTCAAATAAAGCAAAATAAATCAGTTTTCTGAAACTGCTTGAGAGTGAGTGACCGGCCTTCTCTGACTCTCGCGACTGCGGTGAGGACCGACTCGATCTGAGCAGGGGACATACGTGCCTGCATTGTGGTCGAATCCCACACCACGCCTAGATAAGTGGTCCTCTGTAATGGAGAAATCACACTTTTCTTGGCGTTTAGTCTCAACCCCAGTTCTCTCATGTGGGCGAGAACGACATCTTGATGTCGAACCACCGTCTGCTCTGATTGAGCTAAAATCAACCAATCGTCGATATAGTTCAGAATGCGGATGTCCTGGAGTCGCAACGGAACTTCGTGAAAGTGTGGGGTGAGAGTGCAAGGCCGAAGGGAAGAACCCGATATTGGTACACTTTGCCCCCAAAAGCAAACATCAGGAACTTCCTGTGAGTGGGAAGGATGGATACATGGAAGTATGCGTCTTTCAGATCGATCGTGACAAACCAGTCCTCGGACCTGATCTGAGACACGACCTGTTTGAGAGTGAGCATCCTGAACTTCAGTCGCATGACTGAGTGGTTCAACTGACGCAGATCTAAAATGGGATGCAACCCCCATCCTTCTTTGGAACTATGAAGTACCGGCTGTAAAACCCGGACTCTGCTTCGCGAGGAGGGACCACCTCGATGGCCTCCTTCCTCAAAAGAGTAACTACTTCTTGTTCCATGACCAGAGCCTGCTCGGGGCCCACCAGCGTGGGCGTAATCCCGTTGAAACGAGGTAGAGGAGAACCAAACTGGATTCTGTAGCCCCTCTCTACAGTGTGCAGGACCCACTGAGACACATTTGGCAGTAGTTTCCACGCTGCCAAAGAATCTACTAAGGGAATCAGTCTCTCGAGACTGACCTCTGGTGTAATGAGAGCAGCTAGCTCGGTGCCCTGTAACGGCAGACCGGCAGGAGACAACCGAACCAGCTGCTCTAGAGACCTCCGCAGAGGTGGCGAGCCTCTTAGCACCGCTACGTTCCCGGGCGGTGACTGAGAGTGGCGCTCGCGGGAGACCGCTGCGCCCTGTAACTCCGGCAGGGTTAGCAGACCGATCTCCTGAGGGCACTGAGGCGAGACGGACACCGTGTAATGCGGTGTAACCCGCTGCACCCCAGAGGGGACTGCCCTCATAAGTCCTGGGCCAGTGGCGTCAGGACTTTTTGGCCGAGGACCTCCTAGACTTAAGTACGGTCCGAAGATCCGGCTTAGCCTTGGAGGCCCCCGACCTAGAACGTCGCCTCGCCCCCGTGTCTCGACACGGGGGAGCACGCGAGGCCACGCTCTGTTTTTGTGCACCCCTGTATGTGGAGCTGGTACCCGGAGGGGGCTGCTCTCGCCCAGCAG